GGGGTCAGAGGGAGGGGCGGGGTTAGGTGATAGAATCAAAATTTCACGTTGTCCTGTGGCTGCAGCTCTCTATAAGTCCTTTAAGAAATCTTTATTCCTCCATTCAAATTTGCTTGTGTTGAAAGTCACCAGCCTTGCTTGTTTTCAGTGACTCAGGTCTCTTTGCACATCTACATTATCCAGTCTCTCACCTTTAAGAAATATTTGGCATTTCAGGTTTTCCTGACACTTGTGATAATTTCATATTTCTCCATAATACATTCCATTACCCATACTTTTGACCATTTATCCAAATTCACTTGAAGCTTTTTGCACTCCCTTCACAAATCACTTTCCCACCAAGTTCTGTGCTATTTGATTTGATTTATTTATTGTCACGTATTTTGTAACAAAATACAGTGAAAAATATTGTATAGTTCACCACTCTCTGGCACCATCTTAAAACACAGACAAGTAAACCAAATCAATCAATATAAAGGCAGAAAAATGAAGACATAGAGAAAAAGTGTTCAACTGTTTGTTAAGTTCTCTGTCACGAGCTCTGGACCTGGTGGCCCTAGTCCCCACACCCCACCACCACCACTGGAACGAAAGTCACCATTCTTCAGCAATATCTCACCTTCACCTACGCTCTTGCCTCTAAGAGTCCTTGATGGACTTCGTTAATACAGATGCCACTGATGCTACTAGGTACCACAGCGGCCCAAACTCAATTGCCGCTGCCGTGAGTCTGCTTCAGGCCCACCTCACCTTTGCAGCCATAGTTGATGTTGCCAGATCTTGTACTGGGCCCTCCACCACCACCACAATGAATCTGCACCAGACGCAGACACCATCATGACTCCAAACTTGCCCCCACCACAGCAGCCATGAGTTGGCACGAGGACTGCCTTGACGATACAGAAGCCACCACTGGTGCTGCTAACACGAGTCCATGCCTCTGGTCACATTGGAGCCCGCATTACTGGGTCCACTCGCTGCTGATGCTGTCCCTGTGACTGAGCTCTTCATCAAGAGGTAAGTCAATAAAATGAGAAAACAGAGAGAAACAAGAAAAGAAACAAAAAGAAAACTGGAGGACAAGCGCTAGGCTGAGGACCCTACTTACCAAGAGTAAGATGAACATCTAGGTGGGGTGGGAATGTTAGGGAGAATGAACTGGGGGTCTGTTAAACATAGGCGAGGGGATGTTAAAGGAAGAGGGGACAGGAATAATAATGGGTAACAATTATGGGGAACAGAGAGAGAGAGATGGGATATAGGGTGGTGAGGATAGCAGGAATGATGGAATGATGTGCAAAGACAATAGTGATTGAGGCTGATAATAGCAGTAAGAAGGATTTTGATGTGATAGAGGATGTATTGAGCTGAGAGAGGAATAGAGGCAAACAGGGAGATAATTAGTATGGGGGGATGTGTGAGAGGGAGATAGGGAGGAGGAGACATGTAGTGAGAATCAGAGACAGGAACATAAGGAGATTTGGAGGCAGGTTATAGAGAGAGAGAGAGATGGGTGTGAGAGCATAAGGGCTAGTCATAGAAGCTGACAGCACTAAAAAATGCTGTTGGGCCCATCAAGTCTCTGCTGGTCAAAAACACCCACCTAACTACACATATTCTAAACCCAATTTCCAGCATTTGACCCATAGCCTTGTTTGCCTTGACATAGCACATCTAAATACTTCTTCAATGTTATGAGGGTTTCTGCCTCAATCACCTTCACAGGCAGTGAGTTCCACATTCCGACCATTGCCTGGGGTTATGGGGATAGGGTGGATTGCTCTTCAGAGGGTTGGTGTAGGCTCAGTGGGCTGAATGGACTCTTTCCACACTGTAGGGATTCTATGATACCAAGATTCTAATTCCCTCTCAACCTTCTGCCCCCACCTTGGTCATTGATCCCTCCACAAAGGGGAAAAGTTCCTTCCTGTCTACCCTGTCTATGCTCCTCATAATTTTATACTTTAGAATTTGATACATTTCAATGTCCCCTGTCAGTCTCCTCTGCTCTAAGTAAAACAACCCCAGTCTGTCCAATCTCTCTTCATAAATAACTGTCCAGCCCAGGCAACATCCTGGTAAATCTCCTCTGCACCCTCATATGTCCTATGTGTCTCCCATATGTCTTCTTAATCACTTTATTCACCTTAAGGGGCCAGTGTTCATGTACACTAAGGTCCCTCTGATCCTTGGTGCTTCCCAGGGTCCAACTGTTCATCATGTATTCCTTGCCTTGCTTGTCCTGCCTAAGTGTATCATCTCACATTTAACCAGATCGAATACCATTTGCCATTGGTCAACCATCTGACTATCCCATCTATATCCTTTTGTAATGTAAGGCTATCCTCCTCACAATTTACCACCCAACCAATTTTTGTATTGTCTGCAAACTTACTGACCTTCCTTCCTACATTCAAGTCTAAATCATTTATATAAACCACAAACAGCAAGGGCCCCAACATTGACCCCTGTGGGACCCCACTGGACACAGGTTTCCAGTCACAAAATGCCCCTTCGACTATCACCCTCTGCTTCCTGCCACTCATCCAATTGTAGATCCAATTAACCAATTTTCCTTTATCCCTTGGCTCTTATTTTTGCTATGAGTGTCCCATGTGGGATCTTATCAAAAGCCTTACTGAAGTCCAAGTAGACATCGAATGCATTGCCCTTACATAGTCACGTCTTCAAAAAAATTCAATCAAGTTGGTCAGATTTGACCTCCCCTTAACAAAACCATGTTGATTGTTCTTGATTAATCCCTGCCTCTCCAAATACAGATTAATTCTGTCCGTCAGCATTGCTTCCGATAGTTTCTGTACCACTGAGGTCTTACTGGCCTGTAGTTTCTTTGTTTATTCCTGACTCATGTCTTGAATGATGGTCCCACGTTGACTGTTGTCCAGTCCTCCAGCAGCTCTCCTGCAGCCAGAGAGAAATTGAAAATTATTGCCAGTGCCCCTGCTATTTCCTGCCTTGCCTCACTCAATAATCTGGGAGACAACCTGGAGAGGGTACGGAGGAGATTCACCAGAATATTTTGTGG